TTGTAATTAGTGAACTTAGCTTTGGCTTTAACTGTAGCTACGAAACCATGTAAAATTTATTTTGACCCAATCAAACTGGAAATATCTCTAGAAATATTGTTCTGGGGTATAATGAGTACTTTTAAACAAGTCAGTACTGAGTAGCAAGCTACAAATTATTTTTTTACGGGAGTAGAACTTGTATGCCAATAAAATCAAATGAAAAATTGCAGCTAAATTGGTTTGGGGCTGTTTATAGAGTCCCAAAAAAACATCAAAATCTGGGACTATCGTTACATGGGAAGCTATAGCTAAACGTAGGCCGACTTAGTGAATTTTAGATACCTTACAACGCATAAGCGTTGAAGATCTCGCTGTCAAATTTCATTCATTTATATAAACTATATACATCTTAATTTTAACCGATGGACTTTTTTACGCAAATAACAGATCATGAATACACAATATACAATACGTCCACAGTAATACAGACGGAATGAAAAAAATCCAAAAAAAAAAATGTTTCCACCATATATAACTTCCACTTACATCAGTTTTATTCGCTTAATATTTTAACTATATTTTTCCAAATACGATAGAATGCCAACATAATAAATGCGGATATTACATTAGAAACTTCAATACATATTTTTTCATAATAAAATGTAAATTTACAAAATATTTATTAATAGTAACGACGCTCGAAAACGCAATCATCAAGAACTTTTTAACATATTCTTAATTAGTAGTGTTTTTGTTATTAATTATATCGACGTAAAAAGTGATTAAAAAATCATCCATAAACTTTCAATAAATTAAAAAAAAAAATGAAAATAACAATCACATCGCTGACCATTAAGAGCACAATCAAAGTGGTTTAATAAATTATTAACAGTTTCAATAAAAAATACAACAAAAGTCATTAAACCCAATTTATGTGTAATAAATCAATCATTGGTTTTAATATTTAGTTTTTTATGAATATCTATATTTCTTTTTTGTGTTTTTACATTTAACTTTAATTAAATATACTAAATAACAAAGAAATCAACAATAGTTTTACGTTGGGACAAATGATATGTATTAATTTGTTTGTTTTGCAATGTAAACTTAAATAAAAACATTAACAATAAAATACGCATGAAATAAACAACCATTTCAAATCAGTCATAGTTCTTACCATTCCTAAAAAACCTTTTGAGTTCGTATCATTTATCAACAACAATTGAAATTCTGATTAACAACAATAATATCTTTTCCATGAAATAATTTACATTTTTCGATGTTGATTGCATTTGATCAGTTTGGGGGTTTTCGATGGTCAAGGCAGTTTTTTGGAGATTGATCTTATGATTCTATGCTTCAATATGGAAATTCACCATTCACTTTTCTTGTAATTACACAGTGACACAAATCGGCGTTGAAAGTCTGAGGTTTGTAAACTACATAACTATTGGTGATGAATAGTTGGTTGGTTTCCATATTAAGAACTCTAAATGATGGATTTGCCCTAACTCGAATTTCGAGAGTATATCGTAATTAATTTTTTGGTTGTGACCCTGGAGTGCATCATAAAATCGACTTGTATGTCTGCTTGCACCTTCAGTGAAATCGAATGAGAAAATTATTATTTGGTAAATTTCATCCTGCTACTAATCGGATTACATTAGTAGTACGAGTAAGTGTTTCGGTAACCACATTTTTTAATAGTCGCAAATCGAATGAAATGTTTTTAATTTTTTTTGGGGACATTGACCGAGGTGGTCATTATTTCAGTAACTCTAAAAGAAATTTTCAATTCATTTTACGCATTTGTATGTTTCATTTCATTCTTGAAATAGTCTCGTATTTTCATGCAAAAGGGTTGTCTTTTTCAAAGTTCCAGATCTATTGCTCCATTGTAATTGGAACTCAACACAAAGTACAAAAAATTTGGATCACTGTATATAGTTTGCTATATCTATCTGACCTTAAACGTCAAAGAAATCAGAAATGCTATAAATGTCATGTATATGTTTAAAATTTTACATCTAATACCCCCTTCATAGAGTAGTTTAAGATATAAGTGTTAAAATTAATCGAAAATAAAGCAGTTTCCAAATTTGTGACCAGGTCAGTTCGAACATCCCAATATTTCTATAAACGCTAAATCAGATGAAAATTGGATACTCACAAGGGCGCATAAAAAAAAAAAAAAAAAAAAAACAAGAAAAAAAGGACTAAGTTCATCCGGGCCTAACTTTGAATACCCTCACCCATTTGGAAATTTTCAAAAAAAAAAAAACCTTGAAAAATGCTGTTAAAATCATACCGTTATATTGGGGTCTTCACGAAAACGCGGACCTGCAAAGGCAATTTTTGTCATAGGCCATTACAATATTCAAATACGAAACTTTAAACAACTCCGAAACTTAAAATAATGACGCAAAAACATGAAAACATAGGAGGGTACCGGTATATGAGGGCCATACGAAGACCTAGACCTGCAGAGGCAATTTTCTGCCACAGGCTGTAGTACCCATTACGAACCAATAATATGGAATATGAAACAATTCCGGTGAATAATGTCGCTAAAGTCATCAAATTACTGAAAAAAGGGAGGTACAGTTATATGGGGGCTATACCTAAACGTGGACCTATAAAGCCCACTTTAATTACTTAAAAAGTTCAGCAAGCCGAACACACATCAGAGTAAACTTTTATCAACCTATTTCAAGTCGTTCGGAAGCTAGAGTGATTTCCACAGACAGATAGATCGCAAAATCGACATGGAATTTTATATTGATCAAAAATAAATACACTTTGTTCGAGGTGTTATAAACGGATTGACAAACTTAATATACGCCTGGAAATATAAAGTAGACGTGTAAAGAAAAATATCACTCCACTCATTTTGGTAATTCCCCAACATACTTTAAGATTGTAGAAGAAAGACGAATCACCTACAAAGTGAATTATTGAAATTAATCTTATGTATCGGCTAAACCTTCCAATACATAACCCATGGAGGGCCAACTTTTTGAATTATACTAACTCTCACAAGGAGAAACAAGTAAGCAAAGGTTATTGTGGTGCGGAGCCGACCATGTGATACCCTACAACACTACAATATGTTGCCCCGATATATCCAAATCCTTTCTGGAAGATTTCGCTTTTGTAATTATATCACCAAGGACATATGCCCAATATTTACGCACTTAGTCGTGCTTTTAGTTGTGTGGTCTATTTTTCAACTAATATTAATTCAATGGTCATCCAAATTCCTAGAATTTTCCCTGTCCCTAACTCTCTTCTCAGACGTGTCGATTGGCTTCAATTATGTGATCAGGATATTTTTTCTGCTTTTGGCTCATTTGAACCCCTAAATATTTTGCGATCATCTCCAAAAGCAAGAGGCCCCTCTGTATCTCTAAATTTAGACTCATCTTTATGATTTGCTTGTCTACGATATTTGGCAATATTCATCTACGAAATCAGCATAAAAAGGCCAGAAGTTCGTCTTTTGTGTATTTTGGATATCGCCTGTAAGTCAATTTCAACGTTTCGGTAGAATGGAAATGATGGTGTTTTTTCACACAAAAGTAGTGGCCCATCCTACTCGCTCTCCTAAACTCTAACTTCATGCGAGATTTCGTATCCTTTGGTTTATATTTGTGACCTTTATAATGGCTACAAAATCAGGAACATTTTTAGTTGTTGGTCCATTTCAAACCTTAAATATATTGCGGGCGTCTTTAAAACAATATGCCTAGCCCTTTTTGAGCCTAACCCTACCCCTATGAAAATTTTCGTGAGGATCAGACGACAATTGCAATATATATATAATAACCCCGCCTGTATTGTAAGGTGAAAAAATATTACAAAATGTACACTTCAATATAAGTCAAATTGAAAATATCTCACGCGATAAAAATTATGAAAAAAATAAAAAAATGTCGCAACATACTACAAAATCTATATTAACATCATTATTGACATCTTTCTATGCGATTTTTATAGATTTTATACTTTAATGCCAAAAGGGCATTCTAAATTGATAAAATTTGTCAAAATCGGTCCACCAATTTTTCAGATATAAGCATTCTAGCTAACATCCCCTTCCTTTCTATATACAAATTGTATATATTTCGCTATATATATCCGATATATTAACTATCGGCATCGACGTAACGGTCAGAATTGTCCTGTTTGTCTATTTTTGATTTCGCCGGGATTAAAAATATTCGCGGTTTAATGGAAAATTTGACTTTTATTTATCACAAATTTCAATCACTAAATATTACCCGATGACCATCAAAATTGGAAGGCTTCTGCCCAACCCTAAGCTCTAGCTCCATGCTAACTTCCGCTTCGATTGGTCTAAAATTGCGACCTGTAGAGCAACTGCAAAATCAGGAAAATTTTCAAATTAAAATTTTTTTGTCCATTTCAACCCTTAAATATTATGCGATTATCCCCAAAAGCAGTAGGCTTCTATTCTGGCCCTAGTCCTACCTCCATTCTAAACTTCGTGAAGATCGAACCATAATTGCGACCTGTAGAGTGATTACAAATTAACATGGAGAGGCGGACAGATGGACATACATAACTAGATCAACGCAGCTCGACCAGATAGGAAGATCCATATATACTTTCCCATGCGGGAAACCAATATTTCGAGGTGTTACATAATTTTTAGCCCAATCAAACTTATAATACCCCCAATACATAGTGTTGTAGGGTATAAAAACTTCTATGACCAAAAACATTTTTTACCCAGGTGACAAGATCGTAAGCTGAATAGAAGAGGAACCAAAGAATTAAATAAAATTAAAATTCCTTTGGAAAATCTTGTAAATCTTACAACCGCACTTATAAAACATTACCATTGTAAACAAACGTTGTTTTTTATAAAAACAACAATAAAGGGATTAAGCCTGACCATTTTGCAACAGCAAAATACTATGGAATCCCAAAAAAACAAGCCAACACTGTTCTATGTATTTTTTGGCATAAATCGCACATGCAGCCAGCAAAGAAAAGTGAGGTTATTCCGAATGATGACGTTTTTATTGAGTTTTCTTTTAGTTATTTCTGAGAAAATGGATATTTATTGTAATAAATATTAAGGTTGCATACCTCTAAAATCAACAAGTTTTACCCACAAACAAGAGTTCATTACTCCAGTAGTAAGCAACGATCTGAATCAGTCATCAGTATGTTTACATATATATGCCTCTGTCCCTTTTCCCTCCCCCATCACAAAACCTAACCTGATAATACCTTCAATCTTAATTCACAAGAAATTCGATTTGTATGAAATAACATTTGCAAATTTGTACATACATGCTTTTCCAATAATACCCTGCCACCTGGTCGTATGATGAACATAATCAAGTTGTAAAAGTCGAAAGCCACATTAATCATACGTTGCCATGTACAACCGAATACCAACGAAGCCGAGCGACATGATTTAATAACAAAATTGATTCAATGCAATCAACAATAAAACGACAAATATTACATAATATATTCTTATTGCTGTTGTTGTTGTTGTTGTTGTTGTTGTTGCTGGCTTTGCTAACTAGAACATAACATATAAGTACACAATAATAATAGTCGTAATCATAATAACAAGAAGAATATTGAGTATGTATTGTTTCGGTTGTAATATTGCTATACAATTTTGCTAAATCTATTGATTTCTCCTTCATTCATTTCATTCTCTTTCCATATTTATATATTTATATGTAGTGGTAGTAGGTATATGTAGTTCTATATATATGTATATGTCTTGTGTGTATGTCTATGTGTGATATACCTAGTTAGTATTATTACATTTATGCTACTTAGTTACAAATATGCTTACAACAAAAGATTCCAATATCTTTGCTCTGCCTTGTATCTCTGTGTTATCTAGAAATGATTTATATTTTGAACATTACATTCTTCTTCTTCTACTACTTCTTCTTCTTCTCGTTTGGCACACAAAACTTTGTAAGTCTATGGACGACTTCGACATATATTCACCTCCTGCTTCTACTTCTTCTCCTCTCCTCTTTTGTGGTCGGAAATTTGGCTTTGGAACAATTTTTTATTGCAATGCCTGTAAGTCCAACAGCATTTCCTTTCTTTTCCTGCCCTTCCTCCCACATAAGCCCGGCCTATACAAAACTAAATGCAATCATGATACACTAATTTTATAAATTATATGTACACCTTTGCATGTTTTACTATCATATTTGTTTCATTTGTAATTTGTGTTGTTGTTGTGGTTGTTAATTTTGTGTTTCAGTTGCTTATTTTCTGTTTTCCTATATCTGTGTGTGTTTTTTTTTCGTCTGGGCAAGCGAGAGAGCACCCAAGGTAATAAAAAAACGAAATATGGCATTTTTTTTTGTTTTCTTCTTTTCTAAATAACTAAATGAAGAGCAGATATATACCTTAATATAATACCATGGTCGTAATAATCCTCATCAATGTGATATGGTGGAGATTGGGATGATGATGATGAGTTGGGGAATGAGGATCATAATGAAAATGATGATAACATTTGTTCTGGCTTTGTTTCCCAAAGTCTCTTTGATTCGTGGTGGTGGTGTAGCAGTTGCCTTTTACTTGTTTTGATTCCGCTTGTCTCCAGGTATCTTCAACCAGCGTCTCTAATTTTAATCACCCTATATGCATGATCTTCTTAAAAGCTTTACGAAACTCAGGATTGAATATCGTGTAGATGATGGGATTTACAAAGCTATTGATGTAACCCAGCCAGGTGGTGAATATGAAGGCTGTAACGCCAGGATTACAGTCTTTGTCGAATTTTGAACACATGGCATCCAGAATGTTACACGAGAAGAATGGCAGCCAACAAAACAGGAAAACACCTGAAATGGTAATTAAGAAGTGGAAAATAAAATATGTAATTAACAATATTGTAAATAAGTAGTAAAAAGTCCAAAAATACATCTGAAAAATTTTTTGAGATCAGTCTAGGTTCCAAATAACAATTTCTTCCAAACCCAAATTATAACTGATTTAATGTCATAATACGCATTCGAAATCTATTCCGATATAAACGTTTATTTCTTAAGAGTAGCTCTACTAAAATTGCATAGTGGACTCGACTTTTAACCTGTCTTGGGTGGTCTTAATCCTGCATACCAAATAAAGCGAAGAAATTTTTCGCGTTGGATATTTTTAAATAATTTGTGTAAAAACAGTGTAGAATTTTTTAAGAAGTTTATTTCAATGACTTCCAGGTAAAAAAAAAATCGCTAATTTTACTGGCCAGCTATTGTGAATTTATCTTTGAAAACTTCTTATGCTCTGTCCTGTTGATTTTCTACATGGATTTATTGGACTAAAGCGTTCAAGGATCTGGATTTCTTTTTATTATTTTTAAAATTTTCATGCCATGTAATTCTTTAAATATACTTGTAAAAAAACTTCCTTATTGATTTTTTGAACATTTTTTTTTTCAAAGGTCTCTGAGTTCTGCATCATTTTAATTTTTTTTGCTTTTTGGGAAATGGATATTTTTAAAAATCAATTGACTAAGGATGTCCTGAATGAAATCCCCAATTTTTTAAGAATTTTAAAGCAGCCAAAAAAGCATCCAACTCTCTTCAAATTTCACACACACAAACATTTTTGCTAACACAAGATTTGCTGTGCAGATTTCCAATACTTTCATCTGTTATAACTTGCGAAACAAGTCAGCTATTCTTTATAACTTTTTATATCTAAATATTTATATCAACCAGAGACCTGAGATAAATATGGAATTTACAATTTCGAATAAAATTGGATATAAATGTTTGATTTTCTTGTAAGTTTGCTCATACCAATTTTATTATTTGTATTAGTTTAAGTTTGAAAATGGAATATTTCTGTCGAATGTAACTTGTACCTCACGCATACTAAATATACATATCTCATATGGAGAGAATATATCATATTTATTTAGGACCGATACGAAATGGGCCGTGTTGGTCTATTCCTTCTTAACCTACTCAGACAAGTTAAAAAGCTGTAAGGTCGTCTGGGCCGATCTTTGAATACTACCAACCATTTGGAAAAAATGTGGCAATTTTCAAAAAAAAAAAAAACAACAAAAAATAAAATCCGTTAAAAATTCTGTTAAAATTTTAAAAATGTCTGCATAGGCAACTTCTGCCATAAACCATTACAATATGCAAATACAAAACTTGAAAAAAGTCGTAAATAATGTAGCTAAAATCATCAAAATACCGAATATAGAGAAGTGACATTGTATAGGGGATTATATCAGAACGTGGACCTGCACAGACAATTTTCTGACATAGGCTGTAATATCCATTACTAACTTCAAATACCAAATTCGTAACAATTCCGGTGAATAATGTTGCTAAAAACATCAAAATACTGAATATCGGAGGGTACCGTTACGTGGACCTATTAAGACGTGGACCTGCACAGACAATTTTCTGACATAGGGTGTAATATTCATTACGAACTTCAAATACCAAATTTGAATCTATTCCTGTGAATAATGTCGCTGAAATCATCAAAATACCGAAAAAAGGGATGTACTATTATATGGGGGCTACACCAAAATGTGGACCTACACGGCCCATTTTTAATAACAAAAGTCTTTTAGACATGATATACATTTAAGTAAAATTTAATCAACCTACTTCATTTCGATCGGAAGCTAGAGTGATTTCCACAGACGGATAGCCAGACAGACTGACAGACGGACGTCGCTAAATCGACATAGAATTTTATGCTGACCAAGAATATATATACTTTGTGGAGTCTAAAATATATATTTCGAGGTGTTACAAACGGAATGACATACTTAATATATAGAATGTAGTATGGTGGGGAGTATAAAAATATTTAAGTAATCGAAAATTGGCTGAGGGTATACATCTGTCGCAAAATCGACTGATACTTCTTAACTTGTTAACTACTTTTTTATGATTTTCTAGCAAAAATATACATGGAATATATTTTAACACGATATTTTTAATTTGCCTAGCATCGTGGGTTTTGAAACTGAGAGGTATTTCGGTTCTCCCACCGATCTCGCTGGTATTTGCAGTTAAAAGTGAAAAACGTTTAAATCCAGATACTTTTATATGAAAATGTTTTTTTTTTATGTAATAGCGGAGGGTATTCAAAGTTCGATCCAACCGAACTTAACGTTTTTGCTAGTAATAACAAAATTTGTAAGAATTTCTTGACTTATGGTACTTTAGAGGTTTCCTGATAAAAATAGATACTTCATATAAGTTAATTGTTCAAAACGTAAGATTTTAAGGATCTTTTTTAAAAAAAGAAATAAAAAAAACAGAAAGAGTTACTATAGTTCTTAATAATATCTATGATTTATTGGTGAATCTTCTCTTTTCGTAAACAACTACAAAATTACTTAAGTAATTTGGGGTGGAGTTAAAGGCCAGGTTAGTTGACCGCAAACAAGGGGTTAGCGCACAAGAAGTGTGTACTTCGACTTCAGAACAACAAGTGAACGCCGAGGTTCATGCAATCATATAGGGTCACGGTGATCGCCGAGGATCATTGTCGATTACTTTCATTAACAAATATTCCAATAAGAAAAAGGTAAAGCTAGGAGAGAAAACTCAATGACCACCGTCCTTTGGCAACTACCGTGTTCGCCGAGGGAAGTTGCCGAGATGCTCGTGGTGTCAATCAGCTTGTTCGATCGACTGAACTCGGGAAGTTAAAGGGGAACGTATCAATTTATATAGATATTTTTTTAGATATTTTCGTTGATTTTTTAAATATTTGTCAAGGTCTTCTCCGGCTTTTTAACATTAAGAAACAAGTAGGCAAAGGCTATAGTCGTGCTGGGCCGACCATGTGATACCCTACAACACTTCAATATTTTGGAAGCCGCCTTATGTCCAAATCAAGTTTGGAAGTTTTCATTTTTGAACTACTGAATTGCTTATTTACGCATTCCGTCGTGTTGTAATGTCTTCAAAATAAATTCAACAAAAGTTTTGGTCCATTTCACAACGAAATATAATCCAAAGGTCAGCCAAATGCTCGACATCTTCTCTGTTCTCAACTCTCACCTAATGCAAAATTCCTTGTCAATTGGTTTTTAATTATGGCTAATAGAGCGACTGGAAAATCTGGAAAATTTTTATTTTTTGGCTCATTTGAACATCAAAATGAACATTTTCATAAAAATGGACTTTAATTTTGACCCTAACCCTACCCCCATGCAAAATTTTGTGTGGATCGGACGATAATTTCGACCTGGATATAACACACTATTGCAGGGTGTAGATAAAATTATAGAAAATGAATAATTCAAAATTGTAAGACAAATTGAATAAATCGCATGCGACAAAAAATATGACAAAAAATTAAAATACGTAACAAATTCACTTTTATGTTGTAGACTTTTCACTTTTTTCACTTTTTTGTTGTGGACTTTTACGCGATTTTTTAGGTTTTATCCTTTTCTGGCAAGAGGCCATTGTAGATTAGTGAAAATTATCAAATTTCGTCCAGCGGTTCTTGACTTATAGGCGGAATAACTAATATCAATTTCATTTCATTGTAACTATTTCGCTACATATCCGATATCTGACCATTATCACTGTAATGGTCAGAAGTGACCTATTAATGTATTTATGATTTCGCCATGTTAAAAATATTCGCCGTTTAGTGGACATTTTCGTACTTTTTACATAAAAGTCATGGTTTTTTTACCCACTAAATACTGTCTGATGGCCGCCCAAATTGGTAGGCTTTTGCCCAGCTCTAAACTCTAACTCCAAGCCAAATTTCGCGTCGATTGGTCTATAATTGTGGCATGTAGAGCAATTGCAAAATTAAGGTTTTTTTCTGTTTTGGTCAATTTCCACCACTTAATATTTTGCGTTCATCACAAAAAACAATAAACTCTGACCACTCTGACCCAAACCACATATCTGTTTTCAATTTCCTGAGGATCGGGCCATAATTGCGACCTGTAGCTTGAATATAAATTAACATGGGCAGATCGACAAACGAACGGACAGACATAGCTAGATCACCCCAGACGATAATTGCGATATGCATATAATACCGTCAAAACGTAGAGTTGGGGGGGTGTAAAAATTTAGAAAATTAACAATTCAAAATTGTAAGTCAAATTAAAAAAATTGCATTCGACAAAAATTGAAAAAAAAATGGAACAAAAGATATTCACTTTTTATTGGAAAAATTGCCCGCGATTTTCTTAGATATTATCGTTTTCTGGCAAGATACCATTCCGAATTGGGAATTGTGAAAATCGGCCCAGCGGTTCTTGATTTATAAGCAGAATAAATAAGATCAATTCTTTTAAATATATATTGTACCAATTTGCTATATATCCGATTTCTTGGCTATTAGCATCACTGTAATGGTCAGAAGTGATCTTTAAATGTATTTGTGATTTGGCTGGCATTAAAAATATTCGCAGTTTAGTGGAAATTTTCCTATTTTCTTACATAAAAGTTAGGGTCTGTTTTACCCGCTAATTATTTTCCGATGGCCAAATTGATAGGTTTCTGCCCACTCCTAAACTCTAACTCCATGTAAATTTTCGCGTCGATTGGTTCATAATTATGGCCTATAGAGCAACTGAAAAATCAGGACATTTTTCTGTTTTTGGTCTATTTCAACCCATAAATATCGTGCGATCATCTCCAAAAACAATAGGGTTCTATTCTGACCATAACCCCACCTCCATTTTCAATTTCGGAGGATCGGTTCATAATTGCGAACTGTAGCTTGATTACAAATTAACATGGACAGACGGACGGACGGACATACATAGCTAGATCGACTCAACTCGGCAAGATAGGAAAATCCATGTATACTTTCCTAGGTGGGAAACCAAAATTTTGGAGGTGTTGCATAATTTTTGGTCCAATCAAACCTATAATACCCCAAACACATACTGTAGTAGGGAATATTTTGAGACTATTTTTTTAATTTCCGAGAAAAATAGTTATTTTTTTACAAAAAAAAATTCTATTTTTTTGTTTGTTTTATGGAGTTGATACAACTTCTAATTTATTGCCCAATTGTTTACTTAACGTAACTTTTTGGCTGAAAATAAATAAAAATCAATTTTTCCTTTGAAAGAACAAAAATTGCTTTGTTCTTAAATGATTAACAAATTTCCTCTTTATTCCTACAATATGGCTTCGTCAGTTAAATTTTACTAAAATCTCAAAATTCTAACAAATATTTTCTTTTTTGTTTTTCATTGATTGCTTTTCTAAAAATAATGGTTTTCAACACTCCATACTAGTGTTGTGGTCTGCAAAACCACGAACATAAAATCATGTTAAGGTCTTTTCCCCAACATTGTTTTCCTCCTGCTACATATAAACTTAGCAAAAAATCCAATTATATTTATAGCCAAATTATTACCATGGCTCATAGCCAAAGAAAATATTTGCGATAACTTTAGACACGAGTTTTTTGAAAAAAAAAAGATTTCAAACAAATTGGAGGGTACTTTTGAATTTAGTTTGCTTGTGCCATAAAAGTTGTATTTCTTTCGTGTGGCGGCTTCGTGATTTGAGTGACAAAATTCGGTAAACAAAACAATTTATAATTTATATTGACATTTGGAAGAGAAGCCAGAGCCGTCCTGGTATGTTTGTTTGTTTGGTACGTTGTCTCCTGGTTCGAGGTGTCATCAGGCAATAAAACAACCATTGAAGTTAAACATTTTTTTTTTGTTTTTGGTTTTGTCTTGTCATACTTTTGATGGATGTGATGGGGAAATTAAAGAGTGAGGGAGAGGTGGGGAGGAGGTATGAGTGTCTGAACTTTAATTTTCGCCACAAAACAACAATTGTTTGGATTTATTGCCTCTTCACAGTTGGATAGCTGGTAGGTCGGTCCAGCGCAATAGTCATTCGTTCATATCTATGGCCATTCATTTGTTACTGTTTGATGATTCGGGTATGATTTTTTTTTTTTTCATTGTGTACCCTACACCGTGTATGGTTATGGTCTTCGTACGTTGGAAAATAGGATCAAATAAAAAACCCCTGATTATAGCAAATCAATTTGAAAAATATAAACTTTGGTTTTGTCGTTAAATTTCTTAATTTATTTTTATATCCTTCACCATTGAATGGAGGGTATAATAGCTTTGCCATTCCGTTTGGAACTCCTCGAAATATTCATGACAGACCCTACAAAGTATACACTGATCACACAACTATGAACCTTATTTGAATGGCTTAAGAGTAGTCAAATTTGGGCACTATATCCAACTCAGAATCGACTTTCAACAAATTTGACCGAGGCTTTTGTACCTCTAGTACCAAGTAATATTGCTGTATAGTACATGATATGACTTCGATAAGAATTATATTAAACAAGTCAAGATTTTGCCGATAGATGTATTTTCATCTAAAAAATGAAGAAACTGCAACCAATTTCAGACTGCTGTCATTTCTAAGCCACTCGTCCGACAGCTGCTAAAATTATTCCAGTGACAGCTCATTATATTGTTTACAAGCGTACAAAAGCATTTTGTGCGAATTTTCCAGAAAAAAATGTTATTCGTGATGGAACTCAAGCGTGATAGTGTGATTTCTTTATATTTGGCTGAAAAACCATAAGTGGCTGTCGTTAGAGCACTCCAGCATTTAAATGTGAATAAATCTTTTGTGTCTCGTTCAAGAAAGTGGACGGAAGAAAACAGTAACATCAGCAGAAATGGTTCGAAAAGTAAATAAGCGACTTGATCGAAACCTGCGTCGTAGTGGCCGAAAAATGGCTCGTGAGGCGAACATATTCCATTCGGCAAATATTGAAAAACGTGCTCGGGGTAAAGCCATTGAAATTTCAAAAAGTGCAAGAACTTACACCGCAACAGAAAGAAAATATACTCAAAAGAGCTAAGAGTTGCTTCGCTTGGCCGAAAGTGGTGAACTGCCGAATTTGGTTTTCTCCGATGAGAAAAAACGAGCAGTTTGTAAACAAACAAAACGATCGTGTTTACTTGCCAAAGAGGTCAGCTGAAAATATGCACCGTCGGTTGGCCACCAGAACTCAAGTGCTGGCCATGGTGATGGTGTGTGCCGCCATAACAGCCGATGATCCTCGTATTAATCCTCTCCGCTCGTATTAATCGACCGTGGCATCAGAATAATTCCGAATATTATAGCGAAAATATTCTGGAGGATGTATTAAAGCCATAGGAACGCAACCATTTTGGCCGCAGACCTTGGACATTCCAACAGGACTTAGCACCATCGTACTCAGCACGCGCAACCCAATAATGGTTACAAAATGAGATTACAAAATGATTTCCAGCGCACAGTGGCCACCAAAATCTCTGGATACCAATCCGTTGGACTGTTGTCTCTGGAGTATTTTGGAAAGCAAGGAAAGGAAGCACTAAAAAATACCAAAGCGTCGATCACCTCAAGCAAGCGCTTCGCCAAGAATGGCCTATATACCGCAGAGCAACATTCGGGCAGTGTGTGACGATTTCACTGGCCTTTTGAAGGCCATAATTCGTGCCTAAGGTGACCAATTCGAACAAATCTAAACTTATTCTAAAGTTTGATGCTATTCCCGACATTTTTTGCTTTTGTTCAATAAGATCTAAAAAAAAAAAATTAAAAATTATGGCGTTTGACTTTTTTGCAGTTTTTTTATCTCACCCTGTATATATTCTAGATCAGCGTAAAATTCTGTCTGTCTCTCCATCTGTCTGCTTGAATCACGCTATCTTTCGAACGAATTGATATGAAAGGCCAAAAATTAGCATACATGTGCATTTTGCCAGTAGACAGGTTAAGTTCGTAAATGGCCCATGTCGGTCCACGCTTTCGTATAGCCCCCATATAACGGTACCTCGCGTTTTTCGGTATTTTGATGATTTTAACGACACCATTCGCCCGAACTGTTTCAAATTTCGTATTTGAAGATCTTAATGGGTACTACAGCCAATGACAAAAAATTATGCAGCTCCACGACTTCGTATAGCCCCCATATAACGGTAGCTCCCAATGTTTGGGTTTTTGATGATTATTTGCTCGAATTGTTGAAACTTTCGTATTCGAAGGTCCATGTCTTCGGATAGCCCACATATAACGATACCTCCCTTTATTCGGTATTTTGAAAATTTCAGCGACATTATTTACTGGAATTGTTTCAAATTTGGTATTTAAAGTTCGTAATGGATATAACAGTCTTTGTATAGCCCTCATATAACGGTACCTCCCGATATTCGGTTTTTTGATGATTTTAGCGATATTATTCACCGGAATTGTTTTAAATTTTGTATTCGAAGTTTGTAATGTATATTACAGCTCATAACGGGAAATTGTCTGTGCAGGTCTATGTCTTCGTATAGCCCTCATATAACGGTACCTCCCGATATTCGGTATTTTGATGATTATTCACCGGAATACATTATTCACCGGAATTGTTTCAAATTTCGTATTCAAAGTTCGTGAGGGGTAGTACAGCCTAAGACGTAAATGGGCCATGGGACATGGTCCGATTTCGTATAGCCCCCATACAACGCAACCTCCCGATATTCAGAATTTTAATCATTTTAACAACATTATTTCGCGGAATTGTTTCAAATTTCGTATTCAAAGTCGGTAAGGGGTAGTACAGCCTACTACAAAACATTTCGTATTCAGTTCCACGGCTTCGTATAGCTTCCATAAACGGTACCTCCCTCATTATTTCGCGGAATTGTTTAAAATTTTGTATTTGAAGATCTTAATGGGTATTATAGCCTATGACAACTGCAGGTCCACGTCTTCGTATAGCCCCCGTATAAAGCTCGTCATTTAAACGGTATTTTTCGGAATTTATTGAAATTTTTCAAGTTCCTTATAAATGGTGGGGGTTATATAAATTCGGACCGACCGAACTTAGCTGATGTTTTTCTTGTTCACATTAAATCTCTCACAACTCCTTATATATCTAGGGTTTCAAATGGTCGAGTTTGCCAACCTTTCGGTCGGTCTTTCGACAAATTTTATTTTCTCAATTTAACTTTCGTATAAAACTTACCCAAAACAATTGCCAGTGTTTTTGTTGCTTTCCTTTCCTTTTTCGCTGAGGTCTTTTCACGTTTCTTTTTGGATGCCTTGTGGACTTTGTATATCGTAAATCTGTATTTATTAATTTCCACAGCAACAACCGAGCATAAGTTACGGTTTTCGGCCGGATTTTATTTTTTTGTTGGTCGTATGGTTGGGATTTTCATCGGTGGTTAGAAGACGTAATCATTTCATTTCATATCGTCGTTGTCGCCGTCGTCGTCATCATCGTTGTTGATGTTGTTGCCAACGTAATCATTACCCACGTCATCAAGCGGATTACGTTTTAAGATTTAGCAAATGAGCCAAAGACAGCAACCACAAAGTTGTGCGAAACAAAAATAGAAAAAAGTCAGAAAAAAAAAACAAAGAAAATTAAACAATGCAGGAGGAAAAAAAGAAGAAAAAAAAATAACAACAACAACTTTAGTCATTTAAAAAGACAACATCTATTAGAGATTATTTGTCTCTTCATGTATTGTTCTCGCCAGAGATTAGACAAAAAGAAGATGACATGCAGTTCAGCAGGATTTGTATCTTATACATCAAACCATTATCCCAAGCAAACCGCAAAGTCTACCTTCAGTCGTTCATTCATTCATTCTTTCCTTCATTCCATCATTTATTCATTTTCCATTCATTCTGAACTTTAGAGAATGCCATGACAACCTGCCTCAACGACTAAGACGACTTACCTGGATGCTTGAATGTTTTTCTTATCCTTGCGAGAGGATGTTTTCGATGTTGACGATAGGGTGGAATCGTTGCGTGCCAGTGTCATGGCTTCCTGTACTCCGTATCGCATAAACGATAATGGTTTTATGGCAGCACTGTCATGACAGGAACAAAACAACAAACAAATCCGCCATGGCAACGAAATGGAGAAAAAAGTGAAAAAAAAAATGATTTGAAATAAGAAGACGAAGAATAATTTAATTAATTCATTTTCATTAGGCATTAGCATTGGTTTTAAATATCAAATGGAAATAAAAAATATATATTTTTACACACATATAATCGTAATAAAATGATTATCCTAGCAGCACGCTCCTGGGTTTTGAGAAAATGTTATTACGGATTTAAATCCAAAAATTGAAAGGGAGCTGGGAAAATTTTAAATTTAAAGTCGGAATTCCAAAAAATGATGGCATGGCAGACCATAAGAAAAGCAGGAACATGCCAAATTTAGTCCTCATACACGTAGAGTTTGTCCTTGGGATTTTTTAATTTTCATAAAAAATGTCAACAGTACAGGAAATTGCTTTCTTTTAAAGTTAAATTACATTTCGGTTGCTCTTAGAGGGATTCGAGGTAGCAATACAACTGAATCTACATGCTTCCCAGTAACAACCGTAGCCTCAATTAAACTGTTGTGTAGTTTTTTATCGTTAGCCTAGTACCATTGCAAAAGCGAGGCGATTCTATATTTTTTAAAAAAATAATATCCAAATCTGTTCCGATTTCAATATAATTTGACGAAATTTATTTTTTAGACCCAATTCCGTCACACATTCAAACCTTCATTGAAATTTGATAAAAAAGGGTGCATCAAAAAAATACCACATCGACCGAAAATATATATGGAAGCTATATCCAAACCTCAATTGATTTCAAGATAATTTATGAATTTGTGAATTGTATTAAATTCCATCACTTATTCCAGATTTTAAAGGAATCAGAGATGCATAGCGTGGTTGGAGGAAAATTCATTTTTCCACCTAATTCCGTCACTAAATTTTGTTGGAATCGGATATACACATAGTGTTTGGTTCATCCAATATGTGAAATTGGCCAACAATATATACAGGAGCTGCATCTAAATCTGCACCGATTTCAATATAATTTGGCAAATTTATTTCTATACCCTCAGCTATATGGATAGAGGGAGTATTTGATCATTTGATACGGCCAAAACGTACCTCATCGAAATAACGGTTTTAGATCCTATGACCCTAGGACGGTTTCACGATATTTGAAGCCGATCTAGCGATGTCTGCCCGTCTGTCTGTGTGACTGGTGGGCACGATAACTTCCGAAGGGAGGATTCGATTTGGTCCAAGCTTGGTACATTGTAATATTATTATCAAACTTAGATCGAGCTCGGTTATGGAAAATATCGCTTCCCACATTCTGGTACCTCTCCCACAAAAGAGAAAGGATAGTCCGATTTTGCTTCAACTTTGCAAATCCTAATGTGCTATGCCAATTGCGAAATTGGACAATCTTAGTTCACTCCACTAAGTAAAAAGAAAAAAACAACAAAAAACAAAAAAGTAATAAGTTCGTCCGGGCCGAAATATGAAGACCCTTCAACATTTGGAACGAAATTGGCTATTTCAAAAAAAAAAAAAAAAAATAAAAATAAATAAATATTTATATATCGGTTAAAAATTCTGTTAAAATCTTAAAAATACCGAATGTAGCCGTTATATTAGGGTCTATACGACGACGCGGAACTGCATAGGCAAGTTATGTCATAAGTAATTACAATATTCAAAAGCGAAACTTGAAAAAAAAATCGGTAAATAATGTAGCTTAAATCATCAAAATACGACTATCGGGAGGTGCCGTTATATGGGGCTATTCGAAGACGTGGCCTGCACAGACAATTTTCTGTCATAGGCTGTAGTATCCATTACGAACTTCAAATACCAAATTTGAAACAATTTCGATGAATAATGTTGCTAAAATCGTCAAAATCGGAAGGTACCGTTATATGGGGCTATATGAAGACTTGGACCTGCACAGCAAATTTTCTGTCTTAGGCTGTAGTATCCATTACAAACTTCAAATACCAAATTTGGAACATTTCCGGTGAATATTGTCGCTAAAATCATCAAAGTAAGGAATTTTGGGAGGCCCATTTTCAGTACCAAAAGTACTACCGACATAATACACATTTGAGTAAAATTTTATCAACCTACTTCATTTCGTTGGGAAGCTAGAGTGATTTTCACAGCCGGAGAGAGGGATTGACGGACATCAACGATGGACCAAATATAGATATACTTTGTGAGGTCTAAAATGTATATTTCAAGGTGTTACAAACGGAAATTATCTTAACTTGCCAAAGAGGTCAGCTGAAAATGAGCACATTCAGTTGGCTACCAGAACTCAAGCGCTGGCCATGGTGATGGTGTGGGCCGCCATAACATCCTATGGTAGCTCTCCGTTCGTCAGAATCAATGCCGAATATTATCGCGAAAGTATTCTGGAGGGTGTATAAAAGCTTTGGGCATGCAAACAATTTGGAAGCAGACCTTGAACATTCCAACAGGACTCAGCACCATCGAACTCAGCACTCACCACCCACGAATTTTTACAAAATGAGGTTCCTCGCTTCAATTCCAGCGCACAAGGGCCACCAAAATCTTCGGATACCAATCCGTTGGACTATTGTGTCTGGAGTATTTTGGAAAGCAAAGTTAGCACTAAAAATACCAAAGTGTCGATCATCTCAAGCAAACGCTTCGCCGGGAATGGGCCAAAATACCGTAGAGCAACATTCGGTCAGCGTGTGACGGTTTAATTGGACATTTGAATGCCATAATTCGTGCCAAAGGTGATCAATTCGATTAAATCTAGACTTACTCTGATGCTATTTTCGAAATTTTTTGCTTTCATTCAATAAAAATTAAAAAAAAAAAATGTAAAAAATATGGCGTTTGACTTTGTTGCAGTTTTTTTATCTCACCCTGTACAGTGATGCTAATAGCCAAGATATCGGATATGAATCAAAATAGACACAACATTTATGTAAAATAAATAGATCTTAGTTATTTTCCTTATAAATCGAGAACCGCTGGACAGTTTTTCGGAATGGAATGGTATGGACAGTTTTTCGGACATCAATTCGGAATGGTCTCTTGCCGGAAAAGGATAATATCTAAGAAAATGGTGTAAAAATACGACAATAAAAAAGTGAATATTTTTTATTAAATTTTTTGAATGTTTGTCATATTTGTTATACCATGCGATTTTTTCAACTTGACTTACATTTCTAAAGTTTTTCTACACCCTGCAACACTATGTGTTATATACAGGTCGCAATTATATTATATATAATTATTTACAAGAGGTTAGGGTCAGAATTAAAGCCTATTGTGTTTGAAGATGTACATTTAGGTGTTCAAGTAGACCAAAAAATTAAAATGTTCCTGATATTTGGAGGCCACATTTTAAAACCAATCGTCACGGAATTTTGCATGAGAAAGAGTTAAATATAGGGAAGACGTCTAGCGTTTTGGATGACCACTGGATAATATTTAGCTGTAAAATGGACGGCAACTTTCGTGTGAAATTGTTTTGAATACCTAACAACACGACGGAGTGCGTAGATATTCTGGAAATACCCCCAGTCAAAAAGCTAAGTGCAGGACTCTATTACATCATATCAAAAGCGAAATCTTCCAAAATGGATTTGGGTAGAAGGGGCCTTTGAACACAGTGTAGTGTTGTAGAGTTTCACATGGTCGGCCCCGCTTGACCATAGCCTTTGCTTACTTGTTTTAATAAAATCTAAGTTTTATAAATAAAATTCCACCTCTTAGGTGCCGGTTTGATAGTTGCCTACACATCCGCGTGCGGCTTTAAGAACAATCCGGCCTGATACATATTATCTCTTTAAGTTTACAGCGTAATCCCTTAATTATCAGAATACATGATGCAATTTTATGCTAGTTAATCCAATATCTTCAATGGACTTAATTCTATGCCATACCATTACTGTAGTATTATATTTATCAACAATAAGAGTAAGAACTTATCATGTCTTAAACCGAGACAATTTTTGTTCTGCAAAATTTGTTCCAAAAATGGATCTCCGCGTCCTGATTCTTTTGGAAACTTCGATTGGGGTATGCATACTCGTACATTATTCATTCCCACAAGTAGTAGTAGTATCGAAAAGTCACTTTATCACAACTCTTGTTGTGAATATGGGATTCCCTAATTCTCTTCCTTAGTAGCTAGGCGGCAACACAACAATTTTTGGAAAATTCAGCGTTCGAACTTGTTTTCTGACTCTGTCTACTAACAACTCACGACTCCTTACGACACATATAGTTAGGAAAAGGCTTGCGAAAACTCAACATCGATTTAGTTTAGGGGTGCACAATGCACTCCTCACCACACTTTGGATTAAGCGAGAACTATACATTACTATTATAATAACCGCCATTCTGTAAGTCCGTCTGCCTCTAATTAAAATAATAGCATTGTCGAATAAACTTCCAGATCTCAACTAGGCAATCTATAAAATGCCTATGGACCCATAGAACAATCAATTGCTTTATTATGCCACGAGGCAAAAAAGTAATTAAATTAACATTTTTCGTGCCACAGTCGTGTAACAAATATCCTCTATCCACATTACTGAGCGTTGGAATCAGAAAGACAATGAATACAGCCGGTATACAAGTCTGAAAATAATTTAAATTATTTCCTTTTAATTAATTCCATCTTTACAAAGTCTTTTGTTAGTAAATATCCAGTTGTACTAAACGCTTCGCACATCTTTTGCTATGAGGCTAGAGGCCATTTCTGGCTGGTTACCAGAACTTGTTTGGCACGTGTAATTAGTAGAGTTAATGTAAATTTCATTGGACTTTATTTTAATTTAACAAATTTATTTATTCCTTGAACTTTGGAGTTTATTTGCATTTTGAGACGGGTTAATATTAAATACAAACTCATGCTCTGTTTACTTTACAAAATCCATTGGTTTTTATAGATTTGTTATCGAGGCCCCCCATTCTATTATCATTCTAATCGAATTCGATTAATATTAACAAAAGGTGTTTAATTTATTTGAAGAATAAATACTATGGAG